TTCTTTTTTGCTTCACCACATTGTTAATTCGCTTTTTACATTTAAACAACACCACCACCATCTCATTATAATCATCATCAACATTATTATCCACGTAATTATAATCGCCATCATAATTATCATTCCAATAATAATAATAATATTAATAATTTACCAACATTAATGTCATTAAATCCATATCATATGCCATCTCGCCATCATACACGTTCATTACACCAGGCCCAACAATTTCATCCTAATCAACATCATTCACGTTCAATATCACGATCTCGATTCCACCTTCTTTCACAACTTCCATCTCAATCACGTTCGCGTTCACGTTCATTTCATCGTCGTCCAACACCACCACCAATAAAACCACGACATATTCATCAACAACAAAAACAACATAATTTTCATCAGCGCCATCATCAACATCATCATAATTCTCATCATAATTCTCATCATAATTCTCATCATAATTTTAATCGATCACCATCACCATCACCATCATATAACATCTACAACAATAACAACAATATTAATAATAATAATTATAATAATATTAGAAGAACATTTAAAGGAATTATTTTATCCGATTCTATGTGCTCCCGACTTAGAACATATGCTATTAAAAAATTACCCTTATATGATGTAGAATTAAGTTATGAATCAGGTTGTGATATTTATAATATGATACAATGGTTAAACACATCTGAAGGTCGTGGTCAGGTAAGTGATAAAGATTTTTTAATAGTATGTTTGGGTACGAATGATGTGGGACGGTACGGTGTCGAGGTTACTCTGCAACGTACTAGTGAGCTCATACGTTTCATTCGTCGGTCATTCCCAAGTATCCGGGCCATTGGCTGGTTAGCTTTGTCACCACGATGGAAACCAACGAGACTTGTCTCCGCGGCCAACATCGGACAAATGCATAATCAGTTCAATGAGCATCTTCAGGTCTTATCCAATCAGTTGGATTTTGACGTTGTTGATGCGCGCCTTGGGCTTGCGGACATGCGTGTGGAAGATGGGCTACATCCATCTAACACCACCGGCAAATGGAAATATGAAGGAGCTATACGTGAATGGTTCTATTCTCGTGCTGTCGCACTTTCTTCCCTTCTTTTTCAGCGTCGTCGTCATCGTCCAACACCAACAGCACCAACTACACCAACGACGACAACAACATTACAAATGAATAATAATATTTATGTTCAACGGCAGTACCAACCTCGTCGAAATTATCAACAACAACAGCAACAACAAAATAGAGCAAGGTCAGTAACACTTTTTTCAAATAATAATAATAATAATACTCAGCCATTCTCAGTCACACCAGATAGAGTAGTAGGACAAGGAAATAGAAATAGTAGAACACATCCTAATTTTCCATCGAGATCATTAATTAAGTATTATCCACATAAGTTAAGGACTAAGGAACAATTTTTTAGAGATAATGAACCACCAAAAGAATTAGAAAAAGAAAAAGAAAAGATATTTTTAATAGCAAATATTTATTACCAACAGAGACATTTTGAAGAAGAAAGTAAAAAATGGAAAATATATGAACAAGTAGCTAGTTGTAAGGAACAGAATTTAGATAAGGACGGGGACGATATAAGAATGATAGATCTAGAAGAAATTCCACAAGCACGACCTTTTTTCAGAGAGATACTCGAGGATATTAAATATGACAGTTAGTGATACAGATAGTCAGAGTAATGAAGATAGTAATGTAGAAGATAAGGATAAGGATAAGGATAAGGATAAAGATAAGGATAGGAATAAGGATAAGAATAAGAATAAGGATAAGGATAAGGATAAGGATAAGGATAAGAATAAGGATAAGAGTAAGGAAGAGCCTAGTGATAGTAACATCAATAGTACATCAGATAGTGAGAATAGTAATAGTGAAGAAGAAGAAGAAGAAGATAATAGAAAAAGAAAATTACAAGATACAAGTATTTCACCAACATCGAAAGGAAAAATATTAGAAAAAGAGAATATTATTAGAAAGAAGAAAATAAGATCAAAAAAGAAAAAGAAAGTTGCTATTGAGAATGATCCACGTGCACCAGAAGGAAGTCCTATATTATTAGTTAGTGAGAATAGTAATAAGGAAAAGACAGATCAGATAGCTAAGAAAACAAGAGCAGATACACCTATAGATAAAAAAGAAAAACATCAGCCATGGAATACACATGTACACGTAAGAAAACCACAAAGAGTTAGAATTCAACAACAGGAATTATTTGATGCACAAATTCAGGATTCGTCCACTGAGCTTCCCA